GCAGCTCTTCCTGCCTGCAGATTAAGGGATGGTGGGATGGGTCTCCCCAGAGTTATATCTGCACCTTTGCCTTGTTTGGGACATCTAAGCTCAGGTAAGAGGCTCCTGCTCTCCCTGTGAGGGTTGTTCTGCCTGTGCTGATTTCAGTTTGCTTTTGAACTTTTACTTTAGGAGCTGAGGAGTGGGAAACAATATAGAAAGCCCTGAAAGACTGAATGACAAATTTAAGGACACTTGTGCTTTTCTCTTTTCTTTTTAGCTGACTGATATCTGCAGAATCAGAAGAGAAAGCGCTGGAGCTGCTAAAGCTGAAAGACTCCACTTATGTAAATGAAATCTGTAAGAGATTAACAGCAAAATCTGAGGTGAGATAATAAAATGCGCAGCACAATTAAACAGAGGATTTGTGTCTTCAATCCTTCGTGCTTCTCAGCCAGATGGAGAAGTGTGGGAAAGGAGAGAGGGAGGGCTCTGGGTTCTAGAGAACATCCCCATCCTCCTGAGCACGGCTCTGGAGTCAGTCCCGTGAGCAGCAGCTGAGGGAGCTGGGGGGGCTCAGCCTGGAGAAAAGGAGGTTCAGGGGGGGAACCTTTTCCCTCTGGAATTCCCTGACAGGAGGGGGAAGTCGGGCTCTGCTCCCAGGGAACAAGGGACAGGAGGAGAGGGAACGGCCTCAAGTCGTGCCAGGGGAGGGTCAGGTGGGACAAAAGGAGGAATTTCTCCATGGAAAGGGTGGTCAGGCACTGGAAGGGGCTGCCCAGGGAGGTGCAGGAGTCCCCACCCCTGGAGGTGTCCAAGGAAGAAGCTCTGATCTGCAGCTCCTGCCTGTGCTCCAAACCCCTCACATGCCCCCTGTGATATGAACAGCACTGTGAGGAATCCGTGTGCCATGGCTGTGCCAGGCCCAGCATGTGGCAATGACACCGGGCTCTGCCCTCATTGCTGCCTCTCAAACATACCCGGAGGTGAAACTGTAATTCCACTTGAACATCCTGCTCTCCATTTCCATACCTTTGGCTAATTTTAGAGCTGCTCCTCTATGCTGGCAGCAGGAAATCCAACATATGTAAAGTAAGGATGGATGAGATCAATGGTTTGTACGTGCATATATCCAATTCCAATCCAATTTTACCCTCCCAACCCAACCTGAGTTCTGTTCTCGCTGAGCTCATTCCAAGAGCTCTGTTTGTGCTGGAACAACACCCCTCAGTGTGTTCTGCCATAACCAGCCCTTGGGAGAGGAGAGATCTCCCAGTGCATAATGGAACCTCCAGCACAGTGTGGGTTACAGCTCTAATGTTTGATCCAAAGGCACACTCCTTGTCCAGGGACTGATCAGCTCCAGGTAGCTCCTGCTTTTCTGGGTTTGCTGCTGAGACAGGGTGAGCTGTGAAATCACTATAATGACTCTGAGGGGGAGGAAGATGGGAAATAATGCATTCCATTAGGCTGGAAGTGAGAGCAGCCTCGGCTATTGGGCTACAGGAGCTCAGTCTGCAGTGGAGTGACATCCATGGAAGAGCTGGCATGGGAATCACTGGAGGAGCTGCACCACACATACCCCGGTGTGCAGCCAGATCAGAGCCAGGCTGTTTGCTGCAGGGGGGACCAGAGAGACCCAAACCTTTACTCCAGGTGTGATTTTGCCCTGCCACAGGAAAACAAGGAGAATTTCCCCCTGAGGGGAAAACTGCTCCTAACCCCCCTGTGTGAGCTCTGCTGTGGGTCAGGGCTGTCCCTCCAGTGTGCCCTTGGCCCAGCTCCTTCACTCCCACCACCTCCCAGACTGACAGCTCCCCTGTGCCAGCCAGGAAGGAAAGTTTTCCAGTGACAGCAGGAAAGAAAGTGAACATGAGCCTCTTGGATTTGCTTCTTGGACCATTTCCCACCAGGGTGGTGTGAGGCTGACGCTGTGGAGATTTCCACAGGGAGATTCACCACTGCAGGGATCTCTCCCTCTGCTCTTACACTTGGACCCAGACAAGCTGCAGCAGCAAGGGCTGGCTTTGACCCACTGGTTCTGCCAGTGGCTCTTCCCAGTTGTCCTGGCTATAAATCCCAGCTCAGGACATAGGGCTGGTAGTGACAGTGGCTGTAGGGACCCCTGTCATGCAGCAACAACTATCTTGTCCAAACAGGCACCAAAGTACACGGGGCCTCCAGCTTTTGGAGTTGAATTCCTTCCACCCTCAGGGGCCTGAGTAGGAGAAGCAGAACCTCTGCTGGAAGGAGATGGATGGATAGATCCCAACCATCGCCCCAGGCATAACTCCTGTTGTCAGGGGAGCTCTGGTTAAGAAGGAAATGTTCTCCATGCTGCAGGACAGACGGTACCCCGTGCCCTGGAAGGTGCTTTGGCAGCAGCAGCACCCAGGCCCACCTCCAGGCAGGTAGGAGGAATTTGCTGCTCCAGAAACCAGAGTTTCGTGGTGGGATGAGCAGCCCCACAGTTGGTGGAGAGAGGCAGGGAAAGAGGAGAGAAGAGAATGGAGTCACATCTGACTTTCTAACGTAATAATCACTCAGCAGGGCGAGGACAGGAGCTCTTGGGTCACACCTGTGCCACTGCCATGAGTGACAGGGTGATAAATGGGCACAGTCGGCTCCCGAGTGAGACTCGACACTTCCCCGGTGACATATGTGGGACTGTCACCCAAATGCCACGGCTGAGGAGGGGGGATGGCGGGGTTTCAGCAGCCCATCAGTCAGGAGGGGAAGAGCTCAGCTGCTACCCGTGGGTTTTGGGGTGCAGCCGCTCCCCTCTTCACTGTGTGAACACAGAGCAGATCTATTCCTGTCCCTCTGTCACACCAGGCCTGTCTCGGTGCTTCCAGAGGAGGAGCAGACGGTGCCACATGGCTGCTCTTCCCAGTTGGCATCTGAGTCAGTGCCAGCAGGTCTGAGGCAGCTTCTGGGCTCGCAGGGAAGGTGGAGGATGCCCCCTCCTTGCTGTCCCAGCTTCCCAGGATATTTACAGCCAAGAGATTCAGAGCTACACTGGGGGCTGGGAAACTGCCTTTCCACAGTTGAGCATCACCGAGCTCCCGGCAGCCCCTGCTGCTCCCAGAGCTGTGAGGATGATGAGGGGGCTGCAAAAATAGGAAATCCACTGCCAGGCTCATCACTGGCACTGTGGGCAGGGGGACAGGAACGAGGATTGTCCATGGGGATATGGGCTGAGAGGAGGAGGCCTCTCTGCTCCTGTTGCCTATCCCACGGGGGCCTTCCAGGTACCTTCCAGGGAAGGCAGGGGTGCTCCCACAGGTTGCCTTGTTAGGGAAGAAGGGTTGTGGATTCCTCTCCACAACTAAGAGGCCTGCCAACCTCCATTCTGAGGAGGAATCACAGCTTTTCCCCCATCCTCCAGTTCTCCAACACCATTCCCATGTTCTCCCCTCCAAAGGTCATGCAATGAGGCTGCTGGACCAAACTCTGGCCTGGAGTAACTTCCCTGACTGATAGAAACTCAAGTTGAAAAGACAGGTTTGGGGCTTTTGCTGTTGCCTTTTTTCTCCAGAACAAGATGAGTTCATGTGATTCCCAGGTTTGCATCAGCTCAGGCTTGGATGCCAGCACTGATCTGCATGTCTGGGCAGAGCTTCTCCAAAGCGAGAGCTGTGAGCTCCCAGAATCCGTGTAATATTCTAATTCCTTATTTACATTAGACCCCGCTCCACATTATGAGCTGTCAGTGGTGCTTTGCTGTTGAGCGCAGGGGAGGCTCAGCTTGGCGTGTTCACACTTCCCAGTGGAGCTGAGTTTGCTCTTGTAATGGGCTCCCTGGCCTCTACTGAGGATATATTTGCTGTTGCCAACCAGATGAACAAATCTCAGCATCTTGTTGCTACTTTCTTGGATAAACTGGGGAGAGTGAGGGGAACTTTGGAGCCCTGAACAAGGAGGAGGGTCCTGAAAGAAGGATTAGCAACAGGATGAAAGGACATGGCCTCAAGATAGAGGGTTCAGGTTGGACACGAGGAGGAAAGAGTGGTCAGGCATTGGAAGGGGCTCCCAGGGAGGTGGTGGAGTCTCCATCCCTCGAGGTGTCCAAGGACAGACTGGACGTGACACTCAGTGCTCTGGGCTGGGGGACAAGGTGGGGATTGGCCATAGGTTGGACTCAACGGTCTTGGAGGTCTTTTCCGACCTCAGTGATTCTGGGATTCATGTCAGGAATGCACAGCCCAGCTCTTCCCGTCTCATCCAGGCTGAGCATCCCCCCGAGCCTCCCACTGCCCGTGGGTCCCAAGGGACCACGGCACGTCTCCCACTCCGGTATCACACCTCGATCCCAACACCAGCGGCACACATCCAACCCGTGCATTCATCGCTGCTTTCTCATTATCTTTAATTAAATTCCGATATTACGCCACAGTATTTCAGCCACTGTCATTACTTTCTTTAGAGGCGGGAGCAGGAAAAAGCAATTACTGCACATCACTGCCCTGCCAAAACAAATTTACAAGTTGACACTTGGTTCTGCTGTTTTGTGCTGCGGAGCGTGCGGGGACCCTCCTTCCCGGGAATTATCCCTGGGCTCCGGCCCCTGATCCCACGAAGGCGCTGGTCGGGCTCCAGCCGCTGGCGATGACTTGGTAGTGGTGGAGGCAATGTGTGTGGGGCTGGCAGATGGCTGGGAAAGACACATTTTTGGGGAGAACGGCCCTAAAAGCGTCAGAACATCGGTGTGGCTTGGTCAGGGTGAGGTGGGAGATGCTCGAGGGGGGACAACCCATCACTGTCGCGGGCAGTGACACTGGCCGACCCCAGCGCTGAGGCTGCTTCTGCCCTTTGCTTTCTCCATTTCTCGCCCCTTCTTCCCCGTCCCGAGGGGAGCAGCAGCTCCCGCCGCCCGTTCCCTCCGATCCCTCAGAGCAGCAGCGCTCCCCTCGACCTCCCCGACATGGCGCCCGCCCCGCCTCCCTTGTCTGCCCTTCCCAAGATGGCGGCGCTGGGGCGCGCCGGGCCCCTCCCAACATGGCGGCGGCGCTTCCCGCCCGCGGGGCGCTTCCGGCGGGGCCTGGCGCGGCCATGGCGGAGCTGACGGACGCGGAGCTCCGCAAGGAGCTGCTGGCGCTCGGCTACCGCCCGGGGCCCATCACCGCCACCACCCGCAAGGTCTACGTCAAGAAGCTGGGCTGCCTGCGGGCCGAGGTGGCGGCCGCCCGGCGCAGCGGCCGCACCGCGCCGCCCAGCCCCGGCCGCTCCCCCGCCGGGCCGCCGCAGGCCTCGCCCTCGCGGCAGCGCTCCGGCTTCACCCGCGACAGCGAGGAGGAGGAGGAGGATGAGGAGGAGGAGGAGGAAGAAGGGGGGCAGCCGCCCGCGTCCCGCTGGGGGACGTCCAGGGAGGGCGGCGGGCAGGCCTGGGGGGACCCCCGCGGGTCCCCGCCGGGCAGAGGCGGAGGCAACAGGGCTGAGGGCGGCCTGTCCCGGGACAGCCTCGGGGGGCTGAGCCCCTCGGAGCGCTGGGGGACGGCTGTGGAGAGAGGGGGGGGGCGGGCTGGGGGCGTCCCTGGCCGGGCACGGGGGGCTGAGCTCCCCGTCCCAGTGGGACACGTCCATAGAGAGAAGCGGGGGGCTCGGGGGAGGGTCTCACCCGCCCCTGGACGGGCCCGGGGGGCTCGGCCCCTCGTCCCACTGGTGCACGAACGCAGAGAGGAGCCGGGGGCTCAGCACGGGGCCGGGGGCCACCCTGGATGGGATGCGGGGCTCCTCGCTGCAGTGGGGCTCGTCAGCAGAGAGGAGCGGGGGGCTCAGCAGCGGGCTGAGACCCACCCTGGACAGGGCCCGGGGGTCCAGCTCCGCGTCCCAGTGGAGCCCATCGGCAGAGAGGGGCGGCGGGCTCGGCTTCAGGGCTGGCTCGGGGCCGCCCCCGGATGGGGTCGGGGGGCTGAGCTCCACGCCCTACTGGGGCTCCTCGGCTGGCAGGAGCGGGGGGCTCGGCTCCAAACCCCTTCCCAGCGAGGAGAGCGGGGGCCTGAAGTCCAGGAGCCATTGGGGCACAGTGGGAGCTGGGGTCCAGAGCTCCCGGGATCCCTGGGACACGGCGGGGGAGAGGAAGGGGCTCTCCTCCAACAGCTGGTGGAGACGGGAAGGTGAGGTGACCCCCAGCACCCAGTGGGGCTCCTCGGCGGCCCCCGGGGGGTTCAGTCAGCTGTTCAGGAGGGGGAAGGAGGACCTGACTTCCAGCGTTGGCAAGGAGGCAGAGAGGGATGCGAGCGCTGGCGGCCGGGCCGGGGGGCTGATCCGGCGCTTCCCGTGGCGGGCGTCCAGTGATGGGGGGTACGGAGTGACCCCCCGCACTGCCCTGCTCCGCTCAGCCCCCCGGCAGCAGCCCGAGGGGAAGGGAAAAGGCCTGGAATACTACCTCTCCCAGTTCCTCTGCCTCGCCAGCGTAGTGCTGCTCCTCATTTTTCTGGGCATCCTCATGGTGAAGATGGTTGGGTCAGGCTGGCTGGACAGGAGAGACGAGAGCTGTACGTGCACGGGTTTAATTCTGATTTAAACTCTATTCCTCACCTTCTTCTGCTTTACCTTTATTGCTTCTGTCACCGTCATATTTATCATTCTCATTGCTCTAAACTGACATCTCTGCGTCTGTCCCCGTTTCCATCTCCCCTTGCCCATGGGAAACCTTAATCATGGAAAGGAAGTCAAGTGGGTGATTTTTCCAAATGAGCTTGGCCTTCAGTTCCTCAGAACCCTGGGGTTTATGGGGAGTGCCATTCCTGCTAGGCCAAGGATGGATTTTATGGATTCCTGCTAGGCCAA